CTTAAACTTAGGGCTAGGGATGCAACGAATGTTCGGCAACCGAAATTGTTCGAATAAGCGAAAAGACTGAATAAATTGTACTGAACAATGACGTGACGCGATCAAATAGAGGCGTGCACTAATGCAGCAAACATGTCATGGTGTGGAAGCATGTAAAAGTGTCAGAGAAAGACGCTAAAATCATTACAAGCACCGACAGCGAGAGACTGTTTAGTACTAGTCTTCGATGAGAAGAGGAAGGGGTGCCTGTTGCTGGTTACTGTATGATTGAAATCACGAAATAGCCTCAAACGATTAGTAAATAAACTGCAGAACGTTTTTTTTAATTCACGCACGAATTGCATTCAAACAGCGCTGCATGAGCTCGCGGCGCTATCTGCTCTTTAGCCAGGGACAGGGTTCAAAGTCCAAAGCACAAGGAAAATCTGGAAAATTTTTATGCATTTTTAAAATAAAATAAGAAAAGTAAGACAATAATAATGATAATAATAATTACAACAGCTCTATTAATACATTTATTATAACACTCACACATAGTGTTCAAATTGGAATATATTTTCTAATGTTTTAAAAGAATTATCTTCTGCTGGTTATGGACAGGTTTGGTGGTATGGGTAGGTTTAAGGGTGGGTTAAGGTGTAAGGGATGGGTCAACTGTGTAATTATAAATGTAATTACAGAAATTAATTACAGATGTAATTACATGCAGGTATTTTTTAAATATAAGCACAATGTAAAAACATGTATGTACACAATAAGTGCATTGTACCAAATTATTAATTTAAATGTAAGTACATAGTTGTTAAGGCCACTTAATATAAAGTGGGTCAATTTTTTTCTTTGAAAAGCTAGACAAAAAAGTAAAAAGCACATTTTGGCTATTTATGCAATGGTGAAAAAAATTGGCAAAATATATGGGGAAAAATGTGAAAAGCTGTCTTCGGCCTTCAGCCCAGTGTTTCATTTTGTTCGGCTTTGGCCAAGAATTTTCATTTCGGTGCATCCCTACTTAGGGCTTATTAACTAACTTATACTGAAACCTACAGGCATGCAGGAGGCATTATGCAAAAATAAAGGTTTACAGTTATGGATGGAACAGTTATGGCGGTGACCCTTGATAAAATTATTTTGATTCTTAGCATAGGCTGTTTGCATGATCAACAACATATAATAGTACTGTTGTATTTCATATACAGTGCCCTCCACTAATATTGGCACCCTTGGTAAATATGGGCAAAGGCGGCTGTGAAAATAAATCTGCATTGTTTATCTTTTTGATCTTTCATTAAAAAAAATTCACAGAATTCTAATCTTTCATTATGAAATAAATGTTTTTCTCCAATGCATGTTGGTCACAATTATTGGCACCCCATGAAATTCTTATGAGTAAAATATATTTAAAGTATATTCCCATTCATATTTACATTTTTTTAGCACACCAGGGTAACTAGGAGCATGAAATTTTCCAGTGCAGAATTATAAATATGAGGAACACAAAGGCCAAATTCCCTTAATCATCCATCACAAGGAGTAAAACCAAAGAATATAGTTCTGATGTGAAGAACAAGATTGTTGAGCTTCACAAAATAGAGAGTGGCTGTAAGAAAGGAGCTAAAGCATTGCAAATCCCCATTTCCACCATCAGGATAATAATTAAGAAGTTCCAGTCAACTAAAGATGTTACAAATCTGCCTGGAAGAAGACACATGTCTATATAGTCCTAATGCACGGTGAGGAGGAGAGTTTGAGAGGCCAAAGACTCTCCAGGACAGTTGAGTCTTAAAGGGGTCATATGATGCGATTTCAATTTTTCCTTTCTCTTTGGAGTGTTACAAGCTCTTGGTGCATAAAGAAGATCTGTAAAGTTGCAAAGACTAAAGTCTCAAGTCCAGCCCGGGGTCGTCACATGTGGTTGCCGCAAGCCCGCCGTACGCTCCTTCATCGAATCCGCCGGCCGTTTCTCACTCTAGCCGCCAGCCGCCGCTCACTCAAGCCCGCCGTGTGTTTCGTTTTGAAAGCGAAACTACTTTGTTTGGCCTTCCAAAAGAGGACACAACTAGAAATCAGTGGTTAAGTTGTATTTACAACACTGTTCCAGAACAGTTCAACCCAAATATTCAGATGTGTGCAGCACATGGAGGACTGTTTCCTGATCCTGGAAGAGTAGACTACAATGCCGGCCGCGTAAAAAGACAGTACTGGGCTGGACGTGGGGACTGGAGCCCTCCTTGGGCTGGACGTGGGGACTGGAGCCCTCCTTGGGCTGGACGTGGGGACTGGAGCCCTCCTTGGGCTGGACGTGGGGACTGGAGCCCTCCTTGGGCTGGACGTGGGGACTGGAGCCCTCCTTGGGCTGGACGTGGGAACTGGAGCCCTTTCAGGAGCGGACTCAGGGGCTGGAGCCGACACTGGAGTGGACTCAGGGGCTGGAGTCCACAGTCTCTTCCTCTGCATTCTTTTTTTATGAGCCGCGGTGAAGGAGACTGCTGTTGTCAGCGGAGGGCTTGGGAGTGAATTGGCCAGCGGGCTTGATTGTGGAACGGCCGGCGGGCTTGACTGCTGAGCGACCTGCGGGCTTGAGAGTGCAACGGCCGGCGGACTTAACTGAGGAGCGGCCGGCGGGCAGGTTCTGGATCGGGGCCGGACGCTCTCCAGAGGATCCCTTCCTCCAGCTTAGTCCAGTGGTGTCTGGGAGGTCAACGGGTCGGTAGTAATTTGCCCCGATCCAGAACAGAGAGTTAAGAGTGTCGTCGTCGAGCGCCGTCTTACCGGAAAGCCCGCAGAATTCCCACGGAACGGAACGGAACAGAAAACAAACTGATTGTAGAAAGGAAACAAAAATGAGTAGAAGGGGCGTGTTTGTTCTGTCATGTTTAACGTGTCTCGTTTGTCTTGTGTCTGAGCACATGGCTCTGTCTTTGTTTATGTTGGCCATGTGCTCCTCTTGTCCTACCCCCTTGTTTCCCTTTACCACGCCCCCTTGTTTAGCCCTTGTCTTGCCCTTATTTACTTGATTGCGTCCACCTGTTCCTCATGTGCTTTCCTCCCAATTTATAGTTCCCCTTACCCTCTTGTCTTTGCCGGTTCGTAGTCTTTCTCACCCCTTCTGTCACTGTTTTTGTCTCTGTCAGTGGATGTGGCTGAGTATGTGTTCCTGTCTTCCTTCCTGGTTGGTATTGTGCCCTTGTCTCGTTTAGTCCTTTGTAGTTCCATGTTCTTGTCTTGCTCCTTTTTGCCTTTTCTCTGTTTTTTGCCTTTTGCCCTTATTTTAGTATTTATTCAGTTCTTCTAGTCCTGATCTTTTGTTTTGCACTTTTGTTTGATATTCTTTAAGTTAGTTGTGTTGGTTAAATTGGTAACTATTTCTTATTTATTTTGTTACTTTTTTTTATCAGTTCTTTTGTTTTATTTATCCCCCTGCCTGCATTGGAGTAATTTGTGTTCCTGTGGAGCCTTGATGTCCAAGGCTTTCCCAGTGGTGTTCCCTAGCTGTCTCTCTCTGTTAGCTGTGTTCCTGCCGTTGAATCACCTGCACACCTCACTACCCTCTTGTATCTCTCTGTTTTGTAATAAACCCTTGTCACTTACTCTGCGATTGGGTCCTTCTTCCAGATCCCTGACATGTATGTGTGTGTGTGTGAATATATATATTAGGGTGCTCCGATTGATCGGCTACCGATCACTATCGGCCGATAATCGCTTTGGGATGATCGATCGGCGGTCTCTAAAAAGGCCGATCTCAAAAAAACGATCTCAAGCTGATGACGCTGCAGTGAGAGGTTTGGCACGACATGCAGCGTCACCGTCTCAGTCTCTACTCCCCCCATTTTCAAAAACGAAATTCAGGCCCTGAATAAATGTCTAAAACTCCTGATTGGAGTATCACTATAAATAGGTATAAATGATAAAACAAAGGTTTTAAAAAGATAGGTATCGGCAGATACTGCTTTCTGTGATCGGCCTCAAAAATCCTGATCGGAGCACCCCTAATATATATATATATATATATATATATCAAATGACAGTTATTAAAAAATATGACTAAATTAGGGTGTTTAGGTTGTCCTTTTTACTTCTTTCTTTATGTCCTACTAATTTCCTAGAGAATTGTATCAGGCATTTCTCTATTAATCTCAAATAATTAAACTCCTCATGTGTCAGTCACTCCTAGAGGTGTCACAAAATTTGACTGAAAATCGGATGTTTCACATATATATAGCGGCATGTGCCAGTGCCTTCTGTGCGTAAGATGCCACATAATGCTACTTAAATGCTACAGTTTGCAGTTGTTCTGTGATGAATTTCACACCATGTGGTCACAATATAATTTCACTACAGGAACACACCTGAGTGTTGGGAGTGGAGATGGCTGTGCATCTGGAGTTTGATCAGACGAGTCAGACACAATTTCATTCACGCTGCTCAGATCAATCTGCCTCCTTACATTCTGAACAGACAACACATTTACATAAATATCAAAATATAACGATGAAACCATGTACTACACATTACACAAATGCACAATGTATACATAACATCACTGATCTTACCTGCAGACTACCTACAGTGTCTCAACAATAACTGTAATTTGCACCTAAATAAGTCTGAATGTCATTGCATTAGAAACAAAAGTTGTGTGTGAAGAAATAAGCACTTGTCAAGCAAAATGTTTGTTAATTCTGAAATGATAAAATAGACATAATGTTGAAACTGTATGTTATTGTGATGATCTACATCTGTGGTTCCTCTGCTACGACTTGAGGAGAACCAACGTAATACATCCACTAAAAATCACAGAAACACCATTCTCAGAAAAGTGAAATTATTTCTGAGAAATGTTCCTGTTGCATTTTGTCTGCAGATGACACTTGCTTATTGTTTTGTATCTAATGCAATGGCATTCGGACCTTTTTAATTGTGACTTACATTTTCAAATACTTTTTGGGGCCACTGTATATGTATTTTATTTATATGAAATACCTGAGAGTCGTTAAACTTTTTTATTGATTTTCTCCTCTTGTTGCACTGCAAAACAAACAAACAAAAATCCAACATTACAACTGACTGACGTACATGCACAAACAGTACCACATACACACTGACCAAATACAAAATAAACAAACATATACTGTACTTACCTCTTTCTTTACTCTTGCTATCTTTTGTGTGTTTCCATTCACAGATCTAGCTTGCCGGCATCCACTAAAAGACACAGGGAGAGAAGAAAAGTGGTCAGGTTATGCTACCAAATGTTCTCACAAGCATGATAAAACCTGAAATTACCAATATTACGGGAAATAGCCAATGGTCATAATAGCTTAATAAACATACACAATAATATCGCAATGAAAATGTAAAACTGGTAATATGAATGGTTTGTGTCAGGGTTATGCTTGCATCTTGGATATAGAAAGTATTATGATCTCAGTATAAAAACAGTAAAAGGCAATGGAAGTCTGCTATGACAGCCAACACAACTGTAATTACACTAAAATCACAGTAATAACACTGTTCTTACCTTCTTCTGGCCATTATCTTCGTATGCAAGTAAGATTTAAGTTCTTATGTATTTTGCCTTCTTCAGAAGCAGATGGCCTATCATGGAAATATTATGCTGCATTATTTGAGTTCCTGATAAATCAGTTTCCGGGAAAACAATACAGCAAATGCACCGCCAGCGTTTGACAACAAAAATAACTTGCATTACGCTCAGGTCTAAAGTCAAATATAGTCACTTTACTAATAACCATACACATTTAAAACCATTTGGATGTGTTTTATCTATCAATACTGCTGCGCGATAAATTACTCTCTGTCTGCATGGGACGCGCGAATTTAGTAAACATTTAATGCATTATAAATGCATGACACATAAGTTTATAATTCTGAATGGCAAAGTCATGTTCATATTTTATGTGAGGTTATTTCCCAATTCAATACTGTGCTCCACAGCTTTAGCCTGTTAGCATTGCCCATACAAGACGTAATTTAGCTAAATATTATGTAAAGCTAACAGTAAATTAAATTAATGTTAGAACTAAACAAAGCTAGCGTGCAATTCTAAGTGCAATTATATAAATAAAAAATAAGTACTAAAGTCGGTGTATTCGACAGCTGCTGCACGACAACAAAATACATGCATTATATATTTAAATAAAAATAACGAGTCTGTAAAAGTGGCATTGCATTGCACTTCTTACCGGAGCAAGTTGGTTTTCTGAGTCTCGCGCCGGCGCCAAGGCTCGTGAGCGCGCGCGCATGCGCTCCTGCGTGTGATCCTCGCGCACTTCTGTGCTCCACTTTTCCTGTTTGACTACATTTGTTATTTTAGGCCGTTTTTTTCATAGGAACAAAAACACGTCGCTTATTTGCATATTCATAGCTATAATTAAATATCTATGAATATTTAGCTTCAATATTTGAAACATCCATTTGAAAGAAAAGTTTAGACTTTCGATTTCCAGCCATGATATGTTTTACGCCCAAACCGCTGTTTTTTATCACTCGGACTGAGAAAAATTAAGATAATATGCATCTATTATTCTTTGAACGTACTTTAAACCTACATTTTTGTTAACGTTTCTTTCATATTAGGATTTTCTCCGCGTTTCTAATGCGTTTCCTGGAGCTCAGAATCGAACTGGCCAATGGGAGGAGGCTTGTGCTGCCATGTGCGCCTCGTGAGAATGTAAACACACGTGTGTGGAGCTAATGCACTGTGTGCTTGACACGCAATACTTTAGTTTTATTTTTAGTGCTGTCAAATGATTAATCGCATCCAAAGTAAGTTTTTGTTTACATAATATATTTCTGTGTACTGTATATATTTATTATGTGTGTACATAAATACACACACACATACAGTTTATATCTTGAAAATATTTACATGTATATACATATTCTTATATTTTTATATCATATAAAAATATATTTAATATATAAACAACATATTTTTCTTAAAGTGCCCCTGGTTATGAAAGGTTCATATTTTGGTTTTGGGATTCCCCAATAACAGGTTGACATGCATGCAAGGTCAAAAAACACTTTTATTGTCTTATAATATGCATTTATTTTTACCTTACATGCTCAAGGACTCCCAAAGGATTTGCTCAACAATTCATCTTTCCAAACCCCTCCTTTGCATGATGCTAATCTGCAGTGATTGGTCTCATTTTCATTGCATCATGCCTGTAATGCCTGATAAAGCAGCGTTTGTGAGCAGTGCTGCTTTGTGTACAGCGTTACCGGGGAAACCGCTATTTTACCGCTCCAGAAGCGGCACCTAGTGGCAAAGAATGAATTTGCATTTTCATTGCAGTGCTGCTTTGTGTACCCGCGATTTTACCGCTCCAGAAGCGGCACCTAGTGGCAAAGAATGAATTTGCATTTTCATTCAGACCAACTCGAAAAGACCAACAAGTGGGTGGGCAATATGCTAATGTTTCATGTTGACATTCATGTTGACACATGAAACGGCTTGGGATTCGTTTTAAAAACGACTCGTTTCAATGATTCAGAGTCGACTCTTTCTTTTGAGAGACAATAACTTTATACACGGTGCACTTTCAGATTTAAACCTTTGCAGGATGTTTTCATTCACAGAATTTTTATATATTCTCATCTCGCATCCAGGCCAGTTACACAAGCTATTAAATTATTAATAATTTTGACGGAAAACTTTTGCGGACGATTAGGAAAATTGATGCTGTCCTGAGTACATCCACTCTTATTTTGTTTAAAATGATAAATGATTAAATGATTAAAACAAAAAAAT